TTCATTAACAATGAGAGTTTTTAATTAACCTTTTCAGAAAAAAAAATTAACATTATGATAGGAAATATTAGGGTTTAATATTTTAAATCACTGCTGTTATAGGCCAATAATATCTCCGGAAAGCGAGTGCCAGGATGTGTGACCTGTCGGTCCAATTTTCTTAGTCTATATCCTGATAACTGTTGTAAATCGTATTAAAACTACATTTATATGGTTATTGTGAATCGTAATTAATCTCATATACATAATAATTGCAATTGTATAATTAAAACAAAACTTGACGAACTATGTATATTTACTGACAGACAGTTGTACCTAATCGTTCGTATAGCGTTTAGACATAATGAGACGCGTAAATACAGCACATGTCAAACTAATACACGCTATAAACAGAAATAACACCGAATACGTTGTGTTAGCAACAGCTATGTATTCACGATACGTATTTTTTTTTCGAAATACAAACTGTGAGTTCAGTGGAATAAAACGCAACCTTAAACTATATCAACGACACTACAGTAAATGTGATCCCCGGTTTCACCCCATTTTGATTACTATTTTGACATCAACATTTACTGAACAATGAATTATTTATTTTTGGACACCGCAAAGGTTCGCAATATTGTGGTACAACTCATCAAAGGAAATGCCGAATTTAAATATATAATGCAAAAAACAGGCATTTGGCACCTTCTTAAACTACCCGACAGTCAAAAAATACGAGAACACTTTTAAATCCGGGACAACAACAGCAAGAGTTGAATCGGGAAGAAACTGTTTTTTTTTTAGTTTTCGGAAGTTGTTTACACCTTTAATCTCACAGTTGTCATGGCAACAAGAAACTGGAGATGGTTTGGGGAGTGATTGTATGCATGGAAGTAATTTAACCCAGTCACCAAGGTAGTGTTTTTTAAATAAGGGCTCACCTGATGTCTGCAATGGAGAAACGGAGAATTCCACGGCTGACTAGTCAGCGGTCACCACTCTCAAGTAAAGATGGCGATAAACAGCGTTACTATATGTCAACACAACTCGTACAGAGTATGGATCTATTGAATTTGTCGCTTATGGACGAGACGCATTACAAGACTGGTCGGGGTAATAGAAAAGCTGTCAGTACTTTTCCCCCGTTCCGGTTCGATTCTAGCGATGCCAATATGGAGTTTGGAACAAACCTGCCGAGTATACGGGTGTTCCCGGCACCGACGTGCAACAGACCCGGAAAAAGAGACCCAAACTCGAAGCGAGAACTCATCACAACTCACGTGGACCCTAAAGATGCTAAAGAAATGCTCGGGAGAGCATCGGCTCATGCACCGCTTTCAGCCAGTCATGGTGATCGGTTGAACGCTACCTGGATACCAGAAACTCCAACTGACTTGAAATATGCCGACAAATTGGACAGAGAATTTCACAACAAGAGCCTTCTCGCCAGAAAAGTGAGAGTGGCCCCGTTAACGGAGACGTACTTAAAAACCCAGCGCGACGAAGACACTCCGGCCAATCGGACACAAAGAATTGTACATTGGTTAAAAAACGTCACACCAATGCGCCGACCAAGGGAACCCCATATTAGACACAGCTCCGATAAAAATACCAAAGACGATGTCGACAGACTACCGACAATTTCATTTTAAAAATAGAATTTGTTATCAAATTTTACATTTATTATGATAAACGAGTCACAATTGTGATGAGTTGGGGATTACAATATCAGTTACATTCACGACAGGACGGTCTTGTTGACGGAAACATCGTTTTGCGACCTTTGAGGACATAAGTGAAACTTCATCCGTTCCCATGGGTTCATGCCTCTCTCAAGCTACAAGGGCGTGTAACTGTCGATGACCAAAGAAATTGAAAATATTTTAATTTAATTTAAATTATATTATTGTAATAGAAATGTAAACGTTACTGAATGTTTTAGCACAAGAGTACCGTGCATGTAAAGTCACCGCTCATTGAAAAATGCAAAGCGGGAATTCGGCATATATGGTAGGAAGACGACATATTCCTATTGATAAGCTATTATAGCGGTTGTTAAGCTTCCAGTTATTGATTCAGTAAATGACAAAACAAAACAAAATGTTTCACGCTACTCATGTTGAAGTGCTGAGCTGAATCGATTTCCGCTGTTTTATACCAAACAAAAAAAAATTTTAAAACATTTTAAAGTTTGAAGTTTGTGAGTTGTTTTATTAAATGTTTTGCACCCTCCTGCTAAATTCATTATTATTGAAAATAATGATCTCCGTCCACGGCAATTTTTGCGATATTACACTTATCAAACGTCTTAACATATCTTTTACATATAATTTCAAATAACTGCTTGAGTGGTCATTTGCTATTTGAATGGTAATTATCTAATTGATATTACACTGTCGATGCGTATACGGTTTACCGGAGTGTTTCTCACGCACATACACCGACTGTATTTATTGTGTGATCAGGAGAAAGAAACTTTTTTAAGTTTAATAACATAGATATGTATTTTTGTTTCATGTTGTTGATTTCATAGCTTTGTAAATACAGATTATATTTTTAAAAAAACTGGAGCGTTGTTTATATTTTAAATGTGACTAGTTTCGACAAGTGTATATAAAGTTTGGCCTATTTAGTGCGAGCACGAGTGAATACAAGCACAGTATTGTATACAGAGAGATGGAGTTGTTCCACTTCACCAAACCATTGTTTCGGTCTTTGTTTGTAGTCGCTGTGGCGAGAGAAACATAATCAGGTGCGATTGTGATCGCCTATTGGTTTCGTTGTCAAAACATTCTTAAGTTACCCCTATATTGAGATTATTGCGATTCTGTTGGAGTTCATTGTGGAAAATCTACTAGAATGTCTATCCGATATAGTCAACCGAGATTGTTGCCATACCAAATGGTAAGAGAAGCCGATGTGAAGTTTCCTTTCCGAGGATTGGTTTTCCTGCCTGCCAAACTTACAATGCATAAAACGAGGTCGTCTTTGTTCGCTCTCGCTACATCTCACTAATCACAGGTGAAGCCGTGCCGTGTGATATTGATCCAATCGTTTTCATGATACGTACCCCGCAAAGCTGTCAAACTGTGATTTCCAGTGGTCACGAAACGCCGTGATTTGACCATACCCACCTATCCCCGGCTGTCACAACAACAACAGGAAGAAATGATTCAAATCATACGTAATGATCTGACTGTTAGTGATAATAATATGATACGGTATTTTATTTGTTTGTCCCCCCGTTTACTGTATACTTTATATGTACAGAGTAGTTCTTTCGTAGCTGATACCTGTTACCCATGTCACGGTTCGCTGCTTCCGGCTCGGCCGCTCTTCGGTAATCGGGGCGATCTCGATAAAGCGGCTTCAAAGATCTACTGCCACACATTTTATACGTTTGAATAAAATATGCC